ACATTCACCGTTGTCACTAGTGAGTATGATGGAGGCATAAAAGTAGTCCACGCTCAAAAGTTGATTTTCGCGAAACATCTTATTCCCTAGTCAACCCCTTTGAGCCGTGTGACTTTGGGGGTCATTCTAGTGTTAGGAGCTTTGTGATTGTTGAGATTAATGGTGATTGACAGAACGAACCCATCTCCTTCCTTTGTGTCTGAATGTTAGTCTTCCTTGTGTCTCAGAGCTCTCGCTTTTGAGCTCCATAGAGGTTCTACATAGGAGGATTTTGCACGGTTCTTGCTAGGAATGAAGAAGTAGTGTTAGAGGAAGTTCTTAATAGAGAGTAGATGAGGAGGTTTAGAGAGTAGATTTTGGCAATACAAACCATAATACAATTAGAGACGATCTAGAGAGTAGATGAGGAGGTTTCCCACCAGTTCTATCCCAAAGGAGTCACATTGGAATATCCAATCAAGTCATCCATGATGGAAATCAGTTCTTCTTTCTCTCCTTTATTTGTTTCTCCATTATCCATGAACTAATCCTCTTTTTGTCGTTTGGATTAGATGAGCCCTAGTTTTTTTTATACTAATTTAATTGATATTGCATGGATCTTTATGTTTATGATCTTTGATTTGTCTATCAATGATATTTCTGGTATGCGATAGAAGTGCGTCTATTGTATGGTTACTTGTTTATTATGTATGTCAAAGACAAGATCCCCATAGATACAATGGGACACTCATAGATGAAAAGGCCTCGAACAATCAGAAGATGGAGGGAGAGGGACTACTAGAATAGGATTAAACCTAATTTGGGGATTCATATAGTGATCATCATTAGAGAATTGAATCTAGGTGAAGGAGAATAATATGTCCATGTTGAATTGGCTAATAGGGTGTTAATACATGAGAAGATTGGTTAACACCAATTATGGAATCCCTATGATCAAAGAGTATCACATCGAGTCCATGCACGTTCGATTTAAACGATGTGAATTGGCTAGGGGAATTCGAAGTCTGAACAACGCCTTCTCTACTTGAATTTTCATTCGTAATTGCGATTTGTCTTCGTTGAATCTCATTATTTTGATAGTTAGTTTAATTAATCAAGTGAACCGATAAACAACATGTAAATAATAAGACACATAACTAAGTGCGATGCGAGTGACTATGCCGTTGGAGTTGTTCTTGTCAAATGACGCGATAAGCATTTCCAGCCTATCTACTAAGCTTCGAAGACCTTGAACGACGCCCAAGAGAACTACACCACCATATAAAAGGAGCTAATTGCAATGGTGTACGCTTTCGACAAGTTCCGGTTGTACCTGGTGTTGTCCTATGTTGTGGTCTAGACCGAACACTCGCCCATTCGCTATTTGATGACCAAGGCTGACGCCAAGCCGAGACTCATTCGCTGGATCCTAATTTTGGAGGAGTTCGATATGGAGAATCGGGATAAGAAGGGAGTGTAGAACGTTGTAGCATATCACCTCTCACGGTTGGAAGCCTTTCTGGTGGACAACTTCGAGGAGGAGATCCACGACTCCTTCCCGGACGAGCAACTTCTGGCACTATGCTTGGTGGAGAGTGTCACCCCTTTGTATTCTGATTTTGCCAATTATCTGGTAGGCGCGCAGTTACCCTAGGGGATGGGCGCTCACGCTAATCATAAGTTCTTCTCCAACCTGAAGCATTATTTCTTGGAGGATCCATACCTTTTTCAGGATCAGAGAGGATGGTGTAATTCAACTGTGCGTCATGAATAATGAGATGGGAGACATCCTGTCTCACTATCACGAGGGACCAGCTGGCGGTCATCACGGTGGAAACCGCACAGCGAGGAAGGTGCTCCAATCGGGCTTCTACTGGCCCACGCTCTTCAAGAATGTTGATGCCTTTGCACACCAGTGCGATGGATGTCAGCGATCATGTAACATCTCTACCCGTGATGAGATTCCCCAGAAGTCGTTTGTGGTTTGTGAGATATTCGATATCTGGGGCATTGACTTCATGGGTCCATTCCCTTCTTCGCTTGTAATTCGTATATATTGGTTGCGGTGGACTACGTCTCGAGGTGGGCAGAAGCTTAAGACATGCCCACCAATGATGCAGTACGAGTCTGCTTCTTTCTGAAGCAGCTTTTTCCCGGTTCGGGACACCCATTGCAATCATTAGCGATAGAGGAACCCGTTTCCAGGGACAATTCATTAAGCTCCTCTCTCGGTATGATGTGACGCACAAGGTGTCAGTGGCTTACCATCCCCAAACAAATTCATAGATACCACATTTTGTCCGGACCATACTCTATACCTAAACTCAAGATGAGAAAAATTGTTTCAATAAACTAAATAGGATGCAGTGAGAATAATTGGTTGAGATTGCAGTGGCAAATCAATAAGAACCAATAATTACCAAATTTCGTTTTATTGAAGAACCCAATTGGTGGAGAAATCATCAAAAAAGGTCATTGAGTTATCTTTCGCTTTATCTTAGAGTAAGGTTTAATCGATACATAAATACATTAGCCAAATGATTGTTCGAGGTTGGACATTAGTTTGCCTTTTGATAATGGAAAGTAGGCCGAATTGGATAAGGAAAACTTAAGCTTTATTATTAAATGTTTACTCTAATAATACAATAAAGATTACATTGCATAATAAATGCAAAGGTTCTAATTAATCAATGATACATGAGTTGGTTTAGCCAAAAGGCTACGTGATGCAAATTACAATCCGGGGAACTTGTAAGATGTGAAGGTCCAGCCCATTCGAGTTGTTGGGAGTCTCCAAATCATCAACCCAGAACCAAACAAGATTAGCTCAACCTGCAAAATAAAAGAAGATCAGTGAGTTTGGGCGCAACTAAATCCCAAAGGTCGGCCCAAGTTCAAGTCCATCCCAGAACAAAAACAAGCCCAAGTCGGCCCAAACCCAACAGGCCCAACTCGGCCAACCAGTTCAGTCCAAAAACCAACCATGAAATGACATTGACCAATTCGGTCTAACCAAATCCTATCCACAACCGACCTCAACAGGGTGGCACGCTCTTCAAAGTCAAAATAAAAAATGCTCGAATTAGAGAGCGACACGTGGCGGTTTAGTTTGCTATAAATGACCTCTGTGAGCTATTTGTTTGAGGGGGGAACGATTTGGGGAGGAAAAAATATACATAAACGGGAATTCCCAAACACTCTTTTCCTTAAAACACAAAACTTAGTCCAGATATCTGAAATGAGGAGAATCAAGGAAGTGTTTTTGGAGCAGAAATCTAAATAAGGTCTGCAAATCAATTAGATCTACCGCGGCATAATCCGTTTTTTTTTAGTTTTTAGATCTCTCAATCCCAAACTAATTCGAGTTAAGAGGAACCTTACCCAAATCTGTCTGTTCATAGATCCTGCGCAACAAAATAGAAGGGTCAGTGCCGACCCAAAATCCGGGTAAACAAAAATGACAAAATCAAAATTCTCACCTGACCTCGTCGGTGGAACTTTGTCGAGGGAGATCTCGGCGACCAAAAAATCCTCACCCTCTGCTAGCGTCTCCATCACCTAGCTTCCCTAGATCCGACCCTCAAAACCCAAAAGGAAAAATATTAGAGCCCCAGATTAATAAAATAAAAAACAAAACAAAAACTTGTCATGCAAAGAACAACCGCACCTAGGACCCGTCGTTGTCGACAGAGTAATCTCCTCGGCTTCACCCTTCCTTCGATTTCTTCCTCCACACCAAAATTCCAAACCCAGAAACCATCGATTCAAACAAAGGACGAGAGGTGAGAATCCTATCAAAAGCAAAAAATCAAAAGAAAAGGAACATGCATGTCGAGATTTACCTAGTTCGATTTCATCTCATGGTCAATTTTGGGTTTTCATTTGAATCTGGGTGACCGGCAACGGATGTGGGATGAAGAAGAGTCTCGCTTTGCGTTCGTTATTCTCACCTCAGAGAGGCAGAGAGTGGACCAGGAAGAGCGAGAGAGGAAAGGGGTGAGGAGAGAGTGATGGCGGCGATGGCTAGAGGAGGGATAAGAATAGGGTTTCGTTTTTTTAGAAGAGGAGAGACAGAGAGACAGGGTGGCTTGTTTGATCTAGGGTTTCTTGGTCTTCTTCCGGAAGATGAAAATCGACCAAGAAGAGAGAAAGGCGAGGGTGAGAGAGAGGCGACTGGTTAGATTGGCTAGGGTTTTGGGATTTCCAGAGGCGAGAGTGAGAGATGAGAGGGATGAGAGAGAGAGGGAGAGTGGAGGCAGTCGCCTCTCTTTAGGCTGAATTAGGGTTTAACTAGGTAAGCTTATATGCCTCGAGTTTTAAAATGCCCCCTTTACCCTTATGCCCCGTTCACTTCCCATTCCATTTTTTTATAAATGCCACAATAAAAAATCATCTGAAAATGAAAACGAATTTGTTTTTTTTTTAAAAGAAACCTGGAAAAACTTGTTTAGCTGAGAATTTTTGTGAGTTCTGAAATTGAGTTCTGAAAATGAAAACCTGTTTCGTTACTTCATTCTGTTTTTTGAGACTGATTTTTCATTGAATATCTTACAACTCTAATTATGATTATAACTTTTAATACGAATCAAATGGTTTTCAACCTACTAATATTAATACAAGTACAACATCCATTTTTGGCTGTAACCATGTTGCTCAATGGCATTATTGTGTGATCCTTGAAAAATTTTAAGTCATTGATTTCCATTGTATTTGCAGTTAGGTTCTACATGCCGAGTGACTGAAATTGTTTTCAGAAATCAATCATCGAGTCGGGTGGGATACACAAAAACACTGGTCTTCTTCATCAGCACTTCTTGCACAGCTGCCACTACACAACACAAAAACAGCTAGAAAGTGTCAAACTGGATCACCCAAACTTCAATCACTTTTCCTCAATCTCAATCATAATCAAAGAAAATAAACTCTCATAGCTCCCACATTACGTGAAATAAATTGTTGAACGTTGATTGTAATTACATGAAACCATAAATAACTAGTTATAGAGTGATCTTTATTCTAGATCAACAAATCAAGAAACCATACAGCAAGCTACTTGGATCCATGTTCTTGGGGAAATAATCACTCTCCAACTGCCAATTCCAATTCCCTCCACTGCTGCTGCAACATGAAATAATAATGAACACAAACTGAAGGGCCAGTACCTCATTCTTCGTCGGTTGGAGGAGGAGGGAGCAGGCTGAAGCTTCATGGTAGAGAGATGAATCGATCTGGGCTGGAGGAGGAAGACGAAGGCTGGAGTGGAGCTCGTTGCTGGGAGAACTCGACTGTGGGACTTGCGAGGCGGCTGCTTTGCACGACGCAAACACCCCTGCTATGGAGGAAGGCGAGAATGGAACTAGGGTTTCCAAGAGGAAAAAGAATAAAAATTTGGGGCTGGGGAGACTCATTTAACTACAGTGAGTGTTTTTCCGTTGGGAAACGGGGAGAAACCCGTGTCCATTTTTCCAAGAAACTGGATTTTGTTGTTTCCTCCCAGCTACCTATTTATTACAAAAGGGTTTTCCCAACAAAAATCAGAATGACAAATGAACACGTTTTTTATTATACGTTTCCTTATTTTTGTTGAGGCAACGAAAAACAGTTAACGAAATGGGAAGTGAACGGGGCATTAGGGTTCTGGAAATGAACACACCCTTGCCACCGTGTTTTTGTGTAATTACGAGACTACCCTTCCCCCTTTCTCTGAAATAAAACGGCGGATAAAAAAAATGGTGTGACTGGGATTCACACCCCCGTAATGCGGAATCAAATGCCGGATTAGCAAGTTAACCAGTTGGGCTGCTGGCCCATCATTCGTAAAGTTAATCATCTTGTTTAATTTTATTCTTTTAAAATCCTTAATACGAAATGTAGAATTGCGGATTAAGTTTATCTCGTTTCGTTTTTCTAATACATCGAATCTCCTCTTAATAACTGAAATCCTTATATTATCTTTTTATAGTTTCATAATATCGACTTAAATTTTATTAACGATAAATTTTGATACGAGAACCTGATAGACCGTTAATTACACATGTTTTCACCCCTGTTCTTACACCGTTTGAGATGTGGTTTCTCGTGTTTTAGACCGATTTCACGCTAGGTTGTGCTAGTTTGTGATATTTCAGGTCCTGGCAAGTGAATGAAGGTTTAGGAGAGAGTTCGGGGTCGATTGGGCGAAGATCGGGCGCGAGGCAAGTCACAAAGGAGGTCGCACGGGCACACCCACAACCCACACGGCCGTGCAAGTGACCAGTTTGGCCGTGTGGGATTGTGCGAGAGCAAACATGGGCAGATCAGAAAATCCACACGGCCGTGTGAGGATGCATTTTGGCCTTGTGGAATTCTGCGAGAGCAAACACGGGCAGAATGGAAATTTCACACGGCCGTGCGACCCTGGCCGTGCAAGAAGCCTGGAATTCAACTAATTGATACGCTGCGTTTTGGCTCGCACGGGCAACTGGGTAAGCCACATGGCTGTGCAGCCTGCCCGTGTGAGTCGGGATTTCTGTCTTTTAAGCAGATTTTCAGCCACAAGTCGGGGGGATTCGAGTTTTAGAGAGACAGAACGATTCTTAGAGAGAGAAAGCGACAAACAAGAGTCTCCAAGTGGCCTAGCTTGATCTTCAACACCATTGGAGGCCAGTTTGAGCTTGGAGAAGTGCCGATCAACGTCCAGGAGCAGGAATCCATCCTTCACAGTATGAATTCCGCGTTTGATTCTGCTTTTGCTTCTTTCTCCATGGAGTAGTTCTCCCATTCATCTGGGTATGGAGAACCCTAGATTTGTATGTTAGGCTTTGATTGTATGAACCCAAGTACTGATTCTATGATTTGATTATATTCGATTGAGGTTTGAATGATTGAATGACTTGAATCCTGATCAAATTCCTGTTGTTTCTGCTTTAACCTAGAATGAGAATATCTGCCTAGGTTGATAGAGCATCCTTGATTGAAGGTAGGGAGTTGGTGACTTTAGCCGAGGAGCCAACTCACTATTCTGTACCGGATTTACTCCGGTAGTGGAGGTTTTGTTTGTTAAGGCCTCAATCTGTTTACTCCGGTGGAGGTTAGTCGCCCGCTAGAGACTCAGATTGAGAGGGTCTGAAGACCTTTAGTCGAGACTTCAGGCTGTTTAAGAACCTTCCGCAGTATAACTATCATAGAAACTGAACTTGGTAATTACAATCCGGCTTAACTGCAGTCTAGGGGGAACCATATCCGGGTGACCTCTCTTAACCTGAATACCACAGTTTACTTGCTTTGTTAGTTTGATAGTGTAGACTTGCATTCCAGTTTCATTGCTAGATAACAAGAATTCACTGAGTAGTCATCAGTTCTAGGACCCGGGTTGACATATAAACCTAACCCGCTATACTACGCTTTAGGAAGTGGTTTCACTTGGCCAATTCCTAGGGTGACAGTAGAAGTGAGTCAAGTTTTTAGCGCCGTTGCCGGGGACGGCTAGGTTGTTGAAGAAAAGTGATTTCTGTTAATTTAGCTTTTCTTTTCGCTTTGTTTGCTTTGTCCCACTTGTGCCTTCACGGGTTTGCTTGCTTGAGTGTGTGCAGGTAGTGCATGACCCGTAGCCAGTCAGGAGGTTTACTGCCGTTGAATCCAGAGATTGATCGCACCTGTCGCCAGCTCAGGAGACAACAGCGAGCTAGACTGGCTACGGAAGAGCGCATAGACGGCCACCTGAGTAGCGATTCTGAAGAAGAGCACGGGATGGACGGAGACTACAATCAGCAACAGGGGAATCCGTAGCAGGTTCCCCCGGTGAATCAGGTCCTGGGGAACAACCCCATACCCCGGGATCATGGAGTTCATCATCCACCGCAGCCGGGTCCCACCTTGGAGTACTACTACACTCCTTGGATTGCTGACATCCGCCCGGTCATCCTCTACCCGCCTATTCCAGCAAATAACTTCGAGATCAAGCCATGCTGGATTCAGCTCATCACATCCTCTATCCAGTTCCATGGCTTGAAGGATGAGGAGGCCAGGGTACATCTTTCCCGTTTTCTGCAGCTGACGAACGGGTTCAAGCTGAATGGTGTCCCTGATGATGCAATCCGCCTTCATCTCTTCCCCCATTCTCTGGCGGGGAATGCTAAGAGGTGGTTGGAGACCCAGCCCCCATTGTCCATCACCTCTTGGGACGATCTGGCTGACAAATTCGTGCACAGGTACTATCCGGCATCGAAGACTACAGAGATCCAGCGGGAGATCACTCACTTCTGCCAAGAGCCAGATGAGTCACTTCGTGATGCATGGGAGCGGTACATGGGTTATTTCTGGCAGTGTCCCCATCATGGCTTTAGTGATGCATTCACAGTGGGGAACTTCTACAGTGCTCTCTCTCCAGATAGCCAGAGGGTGATTGAGTCTCTATGCCCAGGAGGGGATATTCTTACTAAGACTCCACCCGAGCTGAACTAGATGATCAGTACTTTGGCTGCCAGAGATCATTCTTGGGGACAGGGTAGCCGAGGCAGACAGTCCCGGGACCGTGGTGTGCACGCCATGGAGACCAGATCCGGGCTCGAGTAGTAGGTAGCTGAGCTAGTGCAGACGTTGAAGCAGCCCAGCAGTCTTATTCCGGACAGAGGTTTGGCTACACCTCCAGTTGCTCAATGCCAGTGGTGTGAGAGCTCGAATCACCTAGTGGAGGACTGCCAGGCTATGAGGGAGTCTACCACTCCCCAAGAGCAGTTGGACTTCATCGCCAATGCTCGGCGTCTTGACCCGTACATCAGCTCATATAATGAGGGGTGGCGCCAGCATCCCAACTTCGCCTAGAGCAGCAACACCACTGAACCACCTGGTTTCCCAGCACTAGCAGGTGGTTTTCAGCAGAGGCAGCCCTTCCAGGCTCGACAGGGGCCAGCCCCACAGCAGCAGCCCTACCAGCCTAGGCAGGGGCAACCATTCCAGCAGCCCCAGCGCTAGTTTGCCGAGCCAGCAGTAGCTCCAGCCCCAGATGACCGGATGACAAAGCTGGAAAATATTCTAGCTTCATTCATGACTAGCACTCAGGCTGCTATCACGTCACTGGAGGCAGGTTAGCGGAACTAGGGTGCCATTTTGCAGGATCTGCAGACCCAGGTGGGCATCTTGGCCCGCCAAAACACCACCAGGGCGCCGGGGACTTTGCCTGCCACCACTATCCTGAATCCTCGGGATCCTCACCAGCTCCAGCAGCTGGATGCCATTTTTACCAGGAGCGGTAAGACCATATTTGCTGATCTTGTCCCGGCCAGACAAGAGGAACCACTACCTGCTTCAGCACTTCCAGCCGACGATGCAGAAGTGCGGGTGGAGAAGGAAGCTCCTGCTCCCAAGCCACAACCAGTGGTTAAGGAGCATGTGCCCCAGCTTCCCTTCCCCACTCGCTTACACAAAGACAAGCTGGAGACTGAGTTTGCCAAGTTTATGGCAATGTTGAAGCAACTCAACATCAGCATACCGTTCGTGGAGGCACTGTCGAAGATGCCCAAGTATGCCAAGTTCATGAAAGATCTCCTCACCAACAAGAAGAAACTTGGGGATCTCTCGACAGTGTTGCTGAGCGAGGAGTGTTCTGCTATCCTGCAGAACAAGCTGCCCGAGAAGTGAAAAGACCCAGGGAGTTTTACTATCCCTCTTAATATTGGCAGCATGCATGTAGGCAAGTCTTTGGCGGACCTAGGCGCTAGCATAAATGTCATGCCTTACAAGTTGTATAAAAAGCTAGACCTAGGTGAACTTAGCCCTACTAGGATGAGCATTCAGCTAGCTGATCGTTCCATTGTGCATCCTAGGGGGATCATAGAGGATCTGCTTGTTAAAGTAGGTGCATTCACATATCCTGTTGATTTTGTTATTCTTGATATACATGAGGATGTGGATGTGCCTTTGATTCTGGGTAGACCATTTCTTGCCACCGCCAAGGCACTTATTGATATGCATGATGGTAAACTGATCTTGCGTGTTGGGAGTGAACAGGCTACTTTTTCTGTGACTGAATTGGATCACTGTGCTATGATTGCTGTCACACCTGTGCATGCCATTTCTGATCAGGTACACGAATCTGTCGTGTATCCTTCTGTACCTCTTATTTTGCAGGACCCTCCTATCATTCCTTCGCCGCCACTCCATCCAGCCTCGCCTCCGAAAAAAAAGCTCAAGGAGGAGTGGCGGCCGAAGCAGTAGGTTGCTAAGCCCGCACGGAAGAAGAGTGGAGACCACTATGAGCTGGTCCCACCTCCTGCACCACGACCACCCTGGCCGTCCGGGTACTCACTCGCCTGCATTTTACCGGATGGCCAGGTCGAGCTGACCGTTGATGGTGGACGCATCCGTCGGGTGCATGGCCACCACCTGAAGCTGTACCTCAAGAGCGACGTGGATCCGCTCTTGGAGGCAC